ATACACACATATATAATATGTATAAACATTATACATTGCTTACCCTTCAAGGACATATATATGTATATTAGTGCATATATGTGTGTGTGTGTGTGTGTGTATATATATATGTACTTGGGATTGACCCAAGGGTCTCACACATGCCAGGCAATTGCCCTACCCCTGAGCTATATCCTACCCCCTTAAGAATTTTTTTAAACAAAGCTTGGGACAACAATTCATACTGTAATTATAAATTATTATTATTAATAGTATTAGTAGAAAAAAATTAGGTATTATAAACAATAGTTCTCAGATTTCATCTTTGGTTACTTTGGAGTTCAGTGACCTTAGACATTGCTGTGAATATTATGGAACAAATATCATAACCACAAGTTTCTCAGATAACAATGAGAGGTAATTGTTTAAAAATGTTAGATTTCTCTGCTTTCCTGAATTTAGAATTATCTAGCACGTGAAGGTGGCCAAGTAGTATAGGGTGCTAGACTCACGCTTCCATTTCCTGAATTTAGAAATAGGATCATAAAGGAAACCCTCTAAGGAGTAGAAAAATCACTGCCTTCAATTGTGTACCCACAGATAACCCCACCAGGCTCAAATGGACACTTTTAATCCAGGGGTCACACAGATGGCCCAGTTAAACTAAGCAGGCCACAAAACCAAACTAAACCTTGTGAATCTGGGGAGAAGACTAGTAGGAATGAGGGGTGTGGATAGCGATGAGCTGGGAAAGAAGAGGTGTGGGGAGAGAGTAATCAAAACTCAGTGTATGCACACAGGAAACTGGCAGAAAGCAAAATGAGTCAATAGGAAATTACTTTCAAAAAGGAAAGAAACATCTCCCAGGGAGGACAGAGAGATACCTTGGTAGGTAAAGTGCTTTTCTGCCAAGTGTGAGGACCTGAGCTCAGTCCCCAGAACCACATAAAAGCAAAACAACAAAAAATAATAAAATAAAAACAAAACAAAAAAACTAGACATGGTAACATTCAAAATTCCAGCACTTGAGAGTAGGTTACAGGTGGGTCCCAGGGGCTCACTGACCAACCAGCCTAGCCTATATGGTGAATTCTAGACAAGTAAGAGACCCTGTTTCCAAAAATAGTAGACAGCACCTGAATCATTACACCCCAGGTTGTCCTTCACGCTCCCCAGGTATACATTCACACATGCACCACACCCACAGGACCATGTGCATAGATATGCAGAAAAAAGAAAGAATGAGAGAGAAAGAGAAAAAAGAAAATCCCTTAGGAAGCATCAAATAACTGTCCTTAAAAAGTTTGCGTCAGACTCCAGGGCACCACTGTTGATGTCAGGACTCACTATCTAAATCCAGAGGTCACTTAGCGGTGGACACAAACCTGCATAGCTACTGATTGCTTTTACTCCATCCATAGAAACAAATAATTGAGAGGAAGACAGTAGGGCTACACCCTGTTTAGTTTTCTTTCTTGAAGGCATAAATAGAAGAAATTATTTTCCTAAATCAGATTTGTTCTTGACTTGATAGAACTTGCTTTTAAATGTAAAATCTAAATGAGAAAAACGATGTGGAAATTGTGGGATCTCATCGTTTGTAGGGACTCAGAGTGAGAAGAGAAAACAACTGGAGATATAATTATAGTACCTTACAGTCATATCCTAGTTTCAAGTTATCCTAAGCTTGATGTTCAAATTTCCCAATTCTTTTTCAGCAAAAGTTTCTACTTAGATTTATCCAAATTGATCAGTGCAGGTGACTTTCAGCTTAGGGGCCTGTTCCAGTTTGAGTGTTTACAATGCTGCTAGACTCCTATGTTGACACTCTAACGCACAGTATGGTAGTAGTAAGTGGGGCATATGAAGGTGATAAGGTCACAAAGGCACGCAGGAATGGAATCCATGCTCTTAGAAAAGAGGCTCTCTTGAGAAGCCTACACCCACACTGGTATGTGTCTTATCCTTTCCCTGAGTGCCCCTCTTTCATTTAACTCCCACACTTAAGTCTATGCTAAAATATCTTCCTAATAAATCCCAATTCTGCTGACAACACAACAATAAAAAGAAGACCAACAGAGCTCCACTGTACCTTCCACATGTAAGAGCACAATGGGCCAGTGTGCAGGTCCTTAATAGACATTAAGTCTTCTTGTGCCTGGATCTTGGACATCTTAACCTCTAGGACTGTGAGAAATAAATTTCCTTTATTTATAAAGACACCAAGTTTGTTATATGCAGTTACAGAAACCCAGATGGATTAAGACAGGATATTTGATTTTATTAGAGTTCATCTCTCAGCTCCAACAGCTCTGGTTTATCTGATGATCAGGAGTAGATAGACTTCAAAACTGATGTGACAAGATGGCTGTGCCTTGAAAACTGATGGGTAAAAGGAAGAAAGGGAGGAGGGATGTCATGTAAACGATGCTGCTGTGTAAAACAGGAGGGTGAACTAAAGTCATCAAAGTAGAACATTGTGTCCTAGGATTCAGCAAGACATGATACGAGATGATGATGGGACTTTTGTTTCTAAAAAGCAGGAGCTTGTACTTATTAGAATTACTGAAAAGTTTCAAGAAATGAAGTCACATTTTATTGATTCACTTGACAAATAATTAGGCTCCAAATTAGTGATAGTGGCACACAGGAGAAAAGTTGGAGGGGGTTAAGACTAGGACAGATTAAACATGGCCATGACTCTCTAAGCTAAACTGTACCTAGATCTGGAGTTACGGACAGTTGTTAGCTGCCATGTTGGTGCTGGGATTCAAACCCAGGTCTTCTGCAAGAACAACCAGTGTTCTTAACTGTTGAGCCATCTCTCCAGCCCTGTTTTCTTATAAAATATAAAACACACTTATAGAAGCACATTTTCAATGAAACCACGTAGCTTTGGTTAGCATACTGACCTATTCTTTTTCTTTTTCTTTTCATGAGTTTTTTTTTGGTGTGTGTGTGACATGGGTGTGAACATTTGTGTTTCTATGTGTGTAAGTGCACTTGTGTGTGCATGCTTGTGTGTATGGGGCCTTGATGTTGATGCCTAGATCCTCCCTTGATTGTTCTTCCCCTTATTCATTGATGCAAGGTCTGTTAAAGCCAGAGCTTGCAGATACAGCTAGTTTTCTTAGCCACCCTGTTCTGGGGATCCCCCATCTCCACCTTCTGAAGTAGGGGTACAGGGGAGCCCCCACACTTACCCAACATTTGCACAAGTTCCAGAGATATGAATTTCAGTTTTCTTGCTTACTCAGCGTGTTAACTGCTGAGCCATCTCCCCAGTTCCAGTGGCTCTGAATTTAGGGTTACCACCAGTGTTGTATAAAACACGTCAACGTCACTGTTTTCTGCAATGATAACCTTATGATTGATTCAAATATATGGAAATTTAAAGTTTGCATATTTATCACAACAAGTACTGGTTCACATTAGAAACATATGCACTATGGTTTTTATTTTAAATAGTCAGGAAAGGGCTGGAGATTTACCTCAGAGATTAATGCTCTTGTAGAAGAACCGAGTTCTGTTCCCAGCACCCACATTAGGTGGTTCATAACTGCCTGTAACTCTAGGTAATCTGACAGTCCTTCTGGAATCTGTGGGCCCTACACTCACATGCATATACCTCCACATAGATACATACATATACACATAATTAAAATAAAGCTAACATTTTTGGAATAGTCAGTAATTTACAAACAGTAATGAGTAATCTAGGACAGTATAATTTGCACATTGTTTTGTCTGAGAGGGTTCAAAAGTTCCTAAATCTGACAAGACATTTGCCATAAACACAGCTGCTGGTAAGTGAGTTTAGTGGACAGAAAACTTATTTGCTACATCATTCAAAGTGAATTTATTTATTACTCACTGATAGGCCGTGAAGAAGGTCTTTTCTGCACAACGTCACTTTTTGCTCTGCATTTGAAAGACCCCAAAATGTTTAGACACCATGAGCAGCACTTGGATCACTGCTCTCAAGTGCTACAGAACATATTGTTCTGGGAGAAAAAGACACAGTTCAAGTTGTTCTAGCCATTTCCTCCAGTAGTGAGAATGGAATTTGTTGTTCCTAAGATTTCCAAAGAAAACCAAGTGTTGGGTTGGCCAAGATCATGCAGGGACCTATCATCTTGCAGAGAGAACTTGGTAGACTTGCTACAGAAACAATGCCTTGCGTGTAATTTTACGTTCCTTCCCATCCTTGAAGTGCATGCCATTTGTCCAGCATATAACCTTGCAACGAAGTCCATCAACAAGCATGTCTTACATAGAACAACTTCATGTGTTTCTGTGTGAATAAGGTGATGAAATGACAGAACTGTAACCATCTATGCAATTCACCATCACTAGTCAACCCTTCCAACTACACATTTCCAGAGAGAAAACACACCATGTCAGACCAGAAGGAAAGATAACATTTTAAAGTTCCTTTCAGGTTCAAGGACAGATTGTCTTAAGTTGGAGACAGTCTGTCTTGGGGTATTATAATGTTTGTCAGTATATAGCAAACCCATGATTTTAAAAACTGCATTTTCATATTTTCTTATGTTTTTCTTCCTAGATGTTTCTGATAGCACTAACAGGGGCATATGTAACCAAAACTCTATCTGGAGCATATATGAATTCCATGCTCACACAAATTGAGAGACAGTTCAACATCCCAACATCTTTGGTTGGACTTATCAATGGGAGCTTTGAGATTGGTGAGTTATTTTTATATTATTTGTTGTTATATATTGATTTATCTATACAGCTGGTCTGAATTTTATTCTCCTTATTTGCTGCCTTAGGACATTTAGTCTGACTGAGTTCTATGCTTCCCAAAGCTGGTTGAATAGTCAACCTCAGTATATTCAAAGAAACCATTTATTTAAGTATCTTTATGACGATACCTAAATGTTGCCATGTAGCCCGATGCTGCCTCTTTCACTCCTGTTGCTGGTTATTTGGCACGAGTCACAGAGTATTTAGAGTCTTTACATCTAATTCTATCCTTTGATAACTCTAAGAGAAGCTAACGCTTTTGTTTTTGCATTTTAGAATGTATTGTGGGGATCTGAAGGAATTTATGTTCAAAGGAAAAGTAGATATTTTTCTTCTCTCCTGACTGTGAGGTTGACAGTCCTCCGTTCTAAGTGGCAAAGAGAGTTGAAGTTGCTTTTCTTGTCTGAATGGACTTTAGAAACAATTCCTAAGAAGAGTCAGTGGACTCAGGCTCTGATTTGGGGTGAAGATTGAAATATTTGGGGACAAAATGAGAGTGAGGGAATAATTCCCGCTATAAACAAAACTACCTAAAAAGGTCGATGCTATTCCTTTCTAGTTTGATAACAGTTTCTACTTCCCTCAAGGGGAAAATTGTCTTTAAGGCCTTTAACAAAAACTGAAAAGAAAGCGGGAGGGCAGGCTCCTGAAGGGTGAGTCCGAGTTCTAAAACAGCTGGGCAAACACGAAGGCGGTTTCTATAGCAATGTCTTGCGTGGGGATGGGGTCAGCCCAGCTTTGTTGGAAGGTCAGTTGTTAGGGTGGAACATGTTAGGACATGAGTCTGAGGTGGAAAGTATTAAGATATGACCCAGGGTCCCTTCCTGTCTTCAAAACCAGTACCATGTGGGAGACCCTTACGCATCACCCAGAGAGCTGCCTGTTGAGATGCAGTCTGGTTCTATCTCTCCCCAGACCACAGCTTCTGTGTGCTGAGATAATACTTCCTAGAAGACTTTGCCTCAGTGATGCTGGTCTCTTATTAAACATAACATTTTTCAGCTCTATCTGACCAGCATCTATTATTCCAGTAAGGCAAAGATTTCACGCCCACAGATGTTTTATTCAAATATATCACGTGAACAGCCTGATAATCTTTGCTTCCCTCTGAGACCTCACAGTCCATTTTCTGAATTTCTCTCAGGATTGTCTTTCTAGTTCCCAAGATCAGCTCACTAAGTTCTGCACACTCAGTGGCCTTTCCAGTCCAAAGCTCCAAAACTTCTAAAATCCTCTCAAAACATGAGCTTTTGGGGTAAACAAGGGTTTGGTCTGCCACAGAAATATCCCACGTCTGGTACAAATTTCTGTTCTAGTTAGCTTTTTATCACTGTGATAAAACACTGACAGATAACTTGGAGAGGAAAGGTTTATTTTATCATAAACTGTCAGGTCACAATCCATCACTGAAGGAGCTCAGGGCAGGAACTGAAGCAGAGACCACAGAGGAATGTCGCTTACTGGCTCGCTCAGCTCCAGCCTTGGCCCACCTGTGCAGGGGTGATGCCACCCACAGTGGGCTGGGAAAATGCTTCATCAATTAGCAATTTAAAAAGTGCCTCACAGACATGGCTTTACGTCAGTCTGAGGGAGGAAATTTCCCCCACTGAGGTTCCTTCTTCCGAGATGTTCTACTTTGTATCAAGTTGACAAAAACTTACCAGCATAATATGGCAGCTATAATAACTATAACATCACCTGCAAATACTTATATGTCTGTTGGTGAAAAAGCAATGGTCGCTATGCTGTCATTCTACCTACTTTCAACATGAACACAAGTGCCAATATCTAGTCAATGATTATTGAAAATTAAGATGCATGGTTTTTATTCTCACTCAAGTTCACAGATGTTCCCATTTTCCACCCATGAACTCCTTTGATGTTTTTAGACTGAAGCTTAAGAACTTCTGTTAAAATGAGAAAATATTAACTGTTTCTGCCACCATTGGTAGCGACAGTAAAGACAGTTTGTAAATAGAATCATCAGTGGCAGGAAAAGACAAGTCATTTATGTGGGTAATTTTGTGGGTCATTATGTGGGTAATGAAGGTAATTTTGGTTAGCGTTTATCCAGGTTGTTTTCCAAGCAGTTTCCCTAGTCTGGACAGCACCTTACCTCTCCCTGTGCTTTCTCTCTGGTTATTTTACAAACCCAGAAAGGCAATGTAAGACTCGAGCTCAGCCTCATGTGAGGAGGAAATGTTCTTCTCATTTAAGGTGGTATGGCATTAGACTACAAACAGAGATTTCACACAGTGGCCATCCAGTAGCATTACCTTCTCCACACTGACCTTAATAACAGGGACTTTGGAAAAAGAGACAGGCCTGGGTAGCTAATATATATAAAAGTGGGCACAGTCCATTGAAAGTATGTGACATCTTTTTATCATTTTCCTTTATGTATAAGACAAATAAACATTTTCTTTTTTTCCTTTTTTTTTTGTGAGGCAGGGTCTCCTTGTAGCCCTAGCTAGCCTAGAACTCACTATGTAGACCAGACTGACCTTGACTATAGAGAGTCACCTGCCTCTGCCTCCCAAGGGCTGGGATTAAAGATGTGTGTCACCATACATGGCCAGGTAAACACTCTCTGCCTCTCTCTCTCAACCCTTTAAATTTTTATTTATTTGTTTTTATGTGTATGAATGTATTGCCTACCTGTAAGTGCACCTGTGTCATGAAAAGGCCTCAGAGGCCAGAAGAGGAGTTGGATCCCCTGGTTGGAGTTAAGAATGGTTGTTAGCTCCCATGTGGATGCTGAGAATCAAACGCAGGTTCTCTAGAAGAGTTGCCAGTGCACTTAACCACGGAGCCATGTCTCCAGCCCCAGATAAACATTCTTAATTGAACTAAAAATGGTTTGTGAGAGAACTTACACACACACACACACACGCACACACGGTTCTTTCAAGTCCTTGCACCTTTTTGTGCAGCATTAGTGACTGAACCTATGTTCTCACACATGCTAGGCAAGCATTCTACCACTATTTCTAGCTCTTTTGTTGACTTTTTTTTTGAGTCAGGTCTCACTAAATCACCTAAGCTGGCCTTGAACACTCTGTAGCTAGGCAGACCTTAAACTTTCAGTCTTCCTGCCTCTAGAGTAACTGGGAATGACAGGTCTGCAACACCATGCCACAAGAATTATTTTAACTCTTAAGCATACTCATCAAAGGCCTATCCAGCAGAATAGGGCTTCCCAATGAGTTTCTTTAAACTAAGGCTTTGTCCTAAACCATAGCAATCAGTTTTTCACTGTCTTTTTCCTCTTCTACTTCAGATTTAAGAACCAGTTGGAGGGTTAGGAGTCTATCTTTGTGCTTAACAGAGTTATCTGGTCTAAGGGAAAGCATAGAAAGAGAACCAGACGTATCTGGCTTTGGTGTGTTGAGCCGTAAACGTGTTTTTAAATAGTGAACCAAAAACATGCATCTTTGAACCTACATCAGTGATGACATCTTGCACAAGAACCATGCAAACTCAAGCAGATAAAAACCCAGCACAGAACTGTGAAAATGAACAGCAGGCCCCAATCTTAGTCAAAGAATTATTGGCAGCCGATTACTGCTGGATGAGGAAGAGCTGATCTTAACGGGATGGACTCAAGATAGACTGACTAGACCTCAGTGAATGAACTTGCACTGAGGGACATCTGGGGAACTAATTTGACATGATAGGCCTTAACACAAATGACAGAATGTATGAACTCCAGTGGGAGGGGTAGCGGAGGGTGCCGGTGGAGAAGGGGGTATAAAGTATTTAGTAATAATTCAAATAAATGCATCCATTTGGATTAGGCTTTTGCTTCTTTCTGACGTAGGGACGTAGAGGGTTCTGTGGAACAGGAGTGAAAGCAAGTCAGAGATCACACGCAGGCTGACAGCTGCCTTTGTGTCCATTTCCCAAGGCCAGATTTTCAAACTAGAGCTTTCAGCACTCTCCAGAATGAAACAGACCCTTCTTTTATTTCTTAAATAGCTTTATGGATTAAAACAAGCATCTCAGGAACCATTATAGAAGAGGGGGTGGAAAATGTAAGAGCCAGAGATGGTGCATGATCATAAGGAAACAGAGTTTTTCAGGCCTCTGGACACTTGCACGTATGAACTTAGAGCAATGGTATTAGCATGTACAAGACCATGCAAACTCAGTCAGACTAAAACCCTGCGTAGAACTGGGAAAATGGGCAGCAGACCCCAATCTTAGCCTAAGAACCTGATTCCTGCTGGGTGAGGGAGAGTTGATCTTCTTTAAGGAAGAGACTCTGATAGGCCAACTAGAGTCCAGTGGATGAACTTGAACTGAGGGGCATCAGATACACTAACTTGACTCAGTAGGCCTTCATATAAATGTCAGAATGCCTGAAATCCAGTTCGGGGGGCGGCTATGGAAGTTGTGGATGGGGAGGGGGTATAATGATGATTAAGATATTTTCTATGACGTACACATAAATTCAACAAATGTGCATTTAAAAAACAAGCATCAATCCCAGCATATTTAAGATGGTTATTAAACAATAAATGCTACAGTACAAATTAACTGGTAAGGTTGTTGATTCATCTGTTGATTTGTTAAAGCTTATTGAAATGAGCATTCTCTCCTCCCCCATAGGAAATCTTTTGTTGATTGTCTTTGTGAGTTATTTTGGAACCAAACTGCACAGACCTATTGTGATTGGTGTTGGATGTGTGGTTATGGGCCTAGGATGTTTCTTAATAGCCCTACCTCATTTCCTCATGGGCCGGTGAGTATTCCAGTTTTTATGACACTTTAAGTTCAACTTTCACCTATAGAAAATGAGGCTTGTCATTTCCTCCCTGGGGACAGTACTTCCCCAAAGCACAGAGTGCAGATACAGAAATGGAAATGGAAGATGTGGACTCTGCACAACCAGTGTAGTCTGCAAACTTGATGGCCTCCTGTAAAGTCCCATCTTCTTAAAGTCCAAAAAGACACTCTGAGGGTGGGGTGCGGGGGAAACTGAAGGAGAATTCCAAGAAGATGGTAATGCAACGTAGAGCCTCCCCAGTTCAGAATGCAGATGGTTTACGGCAGGCAGGTGCTGGAGAAGCATCTCTAAGACAAAAGTGAAGACCTGTTGGGAGGATGCTCATCCCACATGAGCGGGAGTGTGAGAGAGTGAGAGACACAAAGAAAGCTAACCAGATGGGGAAATAAAGGCATTATGAAATCTAGGAGAAAGGAAAGATCTATAATAGAGGAATGATCACCCAATTCTACAGTGGAAAACACTTTTATAGTTATAAAGATGTAAATAGTGGGACTGGACAGATGGCTCAGTGGTTAAGAGCCCTGGCTGCTCTTTCAGAGGACTTAGGTTCAGTTCCCAGCACCCACATGGCAGATAACAGCTATCTGTAACTCCAGTTCCAGGGGATTTGATGCTCTCCTCTAACCTCCATGAGCACTGTACAGTGTGGGTGCACTTACCTACATGCAGGCAATATACTCATATACATAAAATAAAAATAATAAATAAAAAAACAAAAAACCCCAAGATTCACAGGTAAACAGAAAACTGCAAATATTTGCTTCCAGAAAGCAGGAAAACGGGGTTATCTTAACTCAATGTCATTTTATCTTTACAATTTTGTACATAAATTGCTTTGTTTGGTAAACATGAAAATAAAAATCCACCATGACATTTCCCTGTCTCTTGGAGATCTACCATTATGTGGATTTATAACAAAGAGTGTCTGAATTGTCCTAATGAGGAAGTCAGCCCAAATGTTGGCAGGTTCAAACAATCGTTTCATGTCGCTCACTTTCATGAAAGAGCTGTCCAAAATCCCTGCTTCATCCTGTCTTCAGTCCACAGTCTGCCTGTGTGGTCCCTCCAGCATCACTGAGCATTGTCAGTTGGGCTGATGGGGGATGTGGCTGAGAATCACCTGTTCCTATTCTCACTCTTTAAATTTTACACATTTTATTGAATTTTTAGGAGTGCTATCCAATACATTTTGATCATATTTAGGCCTCCCTCCCTTACATGCATCCCTCTTACACATAACCCCCCATTTTTCACGCAGTCTATCATATATATTAAGGGATATCAAGTCAGGTTTGTGTCCCCAAGTGTCCTTTGGCGTGCATCCATCCACTGGAGCTTGGTTAACCTGTCTAGCTAGCATCACACACTTAAAGAAAAGCAACTCTCCCTTCTCCACTAATGATTGGTTGTCAGTAGTACCTCGGCTTGAGTTGGGTTTCTTCCCCATCTCTATCCTGGGATTTTGTCTGGTTTGAGCTTGCATAGGTCTTGTGGATGCTGTTACCATTGCTACAAGTTCATATGAGTAACTTCCCAGCTGTCTGGAACATTCTGTTTCCTATGGTCATCAATCACCTCTGGCTCTTATAATCTTTCCACCTCTCTTCCTCTATAGTCCCTGAGCCTTGGGTGACAGTGGATTGATATAAGTCTCCTATTTAAGGATAAGCACTCCGCAGTCTCTTATGCTCTGCACTTTGGCCAGTGTGGCTTTCTGAAGTAATCACCATCTGTCGCATGAGGAAGCTTTGCTGGTGAGAGTTGAGAGATGCATTAATGTTCTCTCTGTCCCCTGTTCCACTAGGTTCCCTGAGCATTAGGTGTAGAGGTTGCATTGTAGATGTATCACTTAGAGCTCAGCATCTCACAGACACTTAGTCCTACTCTCACTTTAACCCAGTGTTTCACTACGTGTGCATTGGAAGTCTCTTGCCTGAATCTTTGGAGGGAGGCATGGGCTGCATATTATTGCTCCTGGCAAACTAATGGTTGTCTCTCATATCTTCTGATTCCTCACAGGCATGCACCATATATGCAATTCTCACAAAATCATTCTTTATAATCAGGTTATTCTTTGGATTGTTTCTATGCAGCTTTGAAAGTCATTTTATGTTCACTGAACAAATTTTTGAGGCTCTTTGATCCTTGAAAGCCAGAGCACTATTTAGCCTATTGTTGGCTATTTTTAATTTCTAAAACTGTGTGTGTGTGTGTGTGTGTGTGTGTGTAGGTCAGATGACAACTCTCAGGAATATGTTCTCTCTGGCCACCTTGTGGGAACCAAGGATAGAACTCAGATTGTCAGTCCTACCTACAAACTCCTTTATCTACTGAGACATCAACCATCCCACAGTCCAGTCCCCCTCTTTTGAAATGGTCCGTGTAGCCCAGGCTGGCCTGGAACTCACCTTGTAGCTAAAGGATAGCCTTGAACTTCTGATCTTCCTGTCTCTACCTCCTGAGCATAGGCATGGACTACCATGCCTGGTTTTATGGGGTGCTGGGGGGTGTCATACCCAGGGTTTCATCATGCGAGTGAGCATTGTATCAACTGAGTTATATATCCATCCCCAGATGTCTTTATCTTTGGGGAAACCTCCTTTTCCTTTTCCATTCTAAATTGTTTTACTGCTGTTTTGTTGACTTTTGGGGGTTAAAAGGATGTTGAATGAGCAACTGCACTTTAAGTGAATAAAGGTGTATTTTATCCTCACAAGTGTTTTTGAAGGGGATCGAAAGTTTCCAGACAGAGTTCCTCACTGCTCTTTTGCTTTCTCTTCCAAACAGCGTCAGGTAATATTCAGCTGTTATTTTCACTCTTCCATCCTCTGTCGATTGTGATTATTTCTTTGAAGCTGTCCTGTCCTCCTGGGATCACGAGTAGAGAGACAAAGGTCTTTGTGCACAGTTCACAGGCAACCTCTGTGCAGAGGACAAGGCAATTGTTGTAAGAGGAAGTTATTACGACCTTTTGTGTTATGTTCTGTAGCATAGAAATTAGGCCCGTTGACGAATCCAAACATAACACGTTTTAGTTCCCCCCAGAACTCAGGTTTCCTTCTCGTCTCTCATCTAACACGTAGGAAAAACTTCAGCATACTTTCTAACAGAGCGAGATTTAGCTGGATGCATTTTTCTCTATTCTTGTATCCTGTAATTTGCTTTCTGAGAAAGGATCTGTGTATCCTGTGATAATTTGCTTAAGCTAAATGACCACAGTTTATTAGCATTTTTGTTCTTGTGTGAAGGCAAAGTCCTATGACATCATGTTGTCAGGTGATGGGGATTCTTCCCAGGTCTCTCCTTCTGATGTGTGAATTAGTTTCTTCTGTACTAGTTAATGAACACAAGGAGGAATGGTGTTTGGATTCTCAGAAAAAGGAGGTTATGCCTCTTAGGAACAAAGCTTGGGGATACGAAGGCAGAGTCTTGGTTGGTGGCGTTGTTTGGCCTCTCTAAAGCTTTGGCCTTCTTAATTCTGCTTGATGGAAGCTCTTATTTTGCTTAGCTTTTGTTACCTTCCTCCCACTAATTATTTCCAGGAAATAACCACTTAGAAATCACAGAAAGTCAACATCTGAAAATTACACCATCTACATGTACAAACTTAAGAGCTAACAAAGAATGCACATTTTTGGTGACTGGTGAGTTCTTTTGATGATAATGATTATTTTTACTCATTTTTTGGGAAGCAGAGTCTCATGAAGCCCAAGCTGGCCTCAAACTTGTTATATAACTGAGGATGACCTAGAACTTCTCATCTTCCTTCCTCTACTTCTAAGTGTTGGTGTGATAGGCATGGGCCACCATGCCCAGTTCATGCGGTGCCAAAAATTGAACCCAGGGCTTTGTGCATGCTATCAGTGGAGCTACATCTCCAACCCAACCTAATGACATGAATTTCTTTTGCTTTAAATTTTATTATTTACTTATTTATTTATTTGCATGATTTGTGTGTGTGTGTGTATGTGCATGTACGTGTATGTGTGTATGTGTGTGTGTGTGTGTTTGTATAGGTCAGAGGACCTTTATACATCAAGCCATCTTGAGGCCCCACAGTAGGATTTCTGTTGGTTAAACTGATAAGGGTTAAAGCCCAGATTTTTTAAAAAAAATTTACTTATTATTTTTATTTTATGTGTATGTATGTATTGCCTGCATGTAGGTAAGTGCACCCATGTCATGCAAAGCCCACAGAGGTCAGAAGAAGCTGTCAGATCCCCTGAAGTTATGGACAGTTGTTAGCGGCCATGTGGGTGCTGGGATTTGAACCTGGGTCTTTTAAATATTTTATTATTTTTATTTTATGTGTTTGAGTGTATTGCCTGCATGTATGTGAGTGCTCCCGTGTCATTCATTGCCACGGAGGCCAGAACAGGGCTTCAGATTCCCCTGGAACTGGAGTTAAGGATGGTTTGTAGCCACTATTTGGGTGCTGGGAATTGGACCCGGATCCTCTGCAAGAGCAGCCAGTGCTCTTAACCACTGAGCCATGTCTCCAGCCCCTAAAGCACAGCTTTATAGGACAGGGAGGTTGTGTTTTCAGGGAAGCAGTAGTCAAAATTCTGCAGAATTGCTTGTCCTGCTCTCTGCTGCTTAAAATGTTTCCTGTGTTCACACAGATACGAATATGAATCTACAGTTTCCATTTCAAGCAACCTCTCATCAGACAGTTTCTTGTGTTTGGCAAATCGAACCCAGACGTTGAAGACATCAGACCCAGCAGGTTGTTGAGTTCGTTTCATTTCTTTCTGTTCAGTGTCTTGGCCACAGAATGCTTTGTGATTGAGGACTTTGAATGTGATATTGGGTTTAGTAAATGTGGAAGATAAATACTGGGGATGGAGAATCAATTTTCTCTATGCACTGGCTCCTGGAGAGCTTATGTAATCCCAAGTGGCATCCCTAAACACAGGTACACAGGAGCATCACTGACTGGATTCAGTGTATTACATATATATATATTTATACATATATATTTGCATATATAACAATAATAATAAAAAAGAGGACAAGAGCTTGAGAGGGAGTAGTGGAGGGGGCAAAGGAGGAGTTGGTGGGGGACTGGGAGGGATGGAAATAATACAAAGAATATACTCATGTATAAAATTCTCAAAAATAAAAATTACAAAAAGATAAATGAATGAAAGATATTTTCCCTCTTTTGGTAGGGGATCAAAAAGGGAAAAGGGATATCTAATAATCCTTTTATATTTGAATATATCTATTAAGGCTAAATTGCTTCTTAAAATGGTTATTTTTTATTGAGTCAAAGATATCCACCCCAGGACCATTGGAGCATTAGTCCCAGAGAGGAAAATGTCTTAGAAGGATGGATTTAAAGACATGATTTGGTCTATGTGTTAATACAGTAGGAAATAAAGTTAGAAACAGAGTTCAAAAGATTTGTGCTGTCTAGCTGATGTAAGGCAGGGAAATCAGGGTCCTGTGCCACATGGCACAGTTCAGAATCCCTCCATTGCCTGGGAGTCTAGTCTGTCTTTTAGCCTCTGTTGCCCTTTTTAACAGAGACATTACTTTGCAGTTCAACAGAACAGTGGGGCTTCCTTCAGTTCCTCTGGGCCATGCACTGAGGCACTAGCTTAGACCCCTTCATATGTCTTATTAGTAACTTTTGCATCGTTGTGACCAAAATATTTGAGATAACAACTTAAGGAAGGAATGATTTGCTTTTGCTCCATTCCTAGTTGCTTGGCAACTATCATGATGATGTGAGTCCTAGAGGATGCGATTCTTCACTTTGTAGTAGACAGGAAGCATAGAAAGGAAGACACAGGAAGTGGAAAGATATACTCCCCCCAAGGACATGTCATCCCCATGACCTACTTCCTCCAACTAGGCCCTACCCCCTATCTTTAACCACTTCCCAATAATGCCATAACCTTATGAATCCATGGAGGGATGAGGGATTAACCCATTGATTAGGTCAGAGCTCTGGTGATGTAATCATTTCTGGAAATGCCTCACAGACAAGCCAGATGTTTACATCACTAATCTCCAAGACATTTCTTAATCCAATCAATATTGGCAATCAGGATTAATTGTCGAGGGGCTGGAGAGATGGCTCAGCGGTTAAGAGCACTTACTGCTCTTGTAGAAGACCTGGGTTCGGTCCCCAGCACCCACATTGGGTGAGTCACAACCATCTTAACTCCAGTTCCAGGGGCTACAACACCTTCTTTCTTATGGCCTCTGTGGGTATCTGCGTGCAGGTGGTGCACATAAACTCATGCAAGCACACACATATATGCACATAAATAAAAAAGTTCTTAAAGAAAGATTGACTATCACTTATGCTAGAGGACTTAATACTTAATCTCCTGAACACTTAGTCTGGAGCTGAGTTGACTGAATTACCTCAGGCTGGAACTTCTCATTTTTGTGCTGAAATTGTAATCGTCAAGGCTGGGAATTTCACTACTCCCATGGAATGAGTGGGGACCAAAATGGCTTGAGAGTTAAAGAATAGCTTCCTCTGAAACTGAGCCAAAGAAACCTCTTCAGCAAAGCAGAATGGAAGAAGGACTTCCATGCCAGCCTGTGTTTATCTCTGAGCTGACTTTTGCGGACTTCTCCCCTATGGGCTAATTTCATTACAGTGGGTCTGTTAAATCCTTCACACATACAGAGCTCCAGGGAAGCACTTGATTTTTCCACCTGGTATTTTCAATTCTGTCTTAGGAAAGGTCTAGACCCAGGGAGGGTCTAGAGCCAAATCATTTCATTCACCATAGATTAAAAATTTGAATACTCAGAAATGGAAACCAATTTTACTAGGCTGGGAATGAACAAGAGTTGGACTCAGAACCTTCCATGTGTGGGAAGTCCCTGACCAGTTTACGGGTAGAGAGGGTACATTGCCCCCACATCCCTGAAAACATGATGCCATAGTTTCCTTACAGATTGGCAGCTATTTTAGCTTAAAACAAACCTGGCAAAGAGGTACACATAAATCTTCAAAGATTTCTTTTGCCTTTCAATTCCCTTTGGCTTACTTATCTTTACTATTCTCCTAACCATGTGCTACTCCAAGGATGGGGTATTTAATATAATGGGATCTACAGAAAAATATCTAGTATCCAGTTAAACATCTTTAGTTTCCATAAAGTAATCAGAACTGTAGATAATTTATAATTTAGTCAAACTTGTGTTTACATTGTATAAACATAGAATGTATTATCAGGAGAAATGTATCTTTATTTTTTTCCTTCCTCAAAGTTTTGTAGAAACAGAGTGGTGCTTATGAGAGCTGAGTTCCACAGTAGGTGATTTTTAGTGTTTTCCAATTTCTATGGTGTGAATTCTTCCACCACACTATAAATGTATTGTCGCTAAACACTGTCTTTGGAAGATGTATACATACATACATACATACATACATACATACATACATACATACATGCAGGGTCATCTCTCCTAGTCAAGTAGGAACTGGCTCCACTACACAATCATTTCTAAGTATTCTCTCAAAAAATGCAGTGGGGTGACCCACTGATTCATAGCTTACATACTAATATAAGTCTCAGAGTAAGTATCATGGGCATCTGACTTGTGAAATGCTTACAGAAAATTTTAATTAGCTTTCAGCAACACTTGACTGTCAAAACACTAATGCAACTCCTTTGGTTTTAATGCAGACTGTGTGAAAGAAATGAAATCACTGATGTGGATCTACGTACTGGTAGGAAATGTTATACGTGGAGTGGGTGAAACTCCCATCATGCCTTTGGGCATTTCATATATAGAAGACTTTGCCAAATCAGAAAACTCTCCTTTATACATTGGTAAGTTTGGAAATCTGCCTTAAGTCCTTTATAGGATGGAAAGTTCTGGGAGGGTACAAATCAGTTATCGATTTGGACTCTGATTTTTAGAAAGATGTGCAGAGTGCCATGATACTGTTGGTCATAAGTTTGTGGAATGGGGAAATTATATCTACTACCCGATAAGCCACTCCCACAAGCCTGCTTTCCACTATTGGAGATACCTCCAATCTGCAGACCCCCTATGGTCCTCTGATCAAAACCATTAAGAGATTCACCAGTTATTTCCCCAAAATGTTCTTTTAAAATTTTCTATGCTCTTTATTTTCTCATTCCCTCTTCTATAAGTTATTACAACTTCTTTATTGGGAATTTTATGACTGTAATATTTAAATACCTGTTTTGAATTTATTATGTATTTATTATTTTTGTGTGTGCGTGCACAGGCCATGATACTGCTGTAGAGGTCAGAGGACAGCTTGCAGGATTTCTCTCCTTCCATCATGTGGATCCTGTGAACTGAGCTCAGGTCCTCCTGCTTGGCAGCAAAGCCCCCTTTCCCGTTGGGCTGTCTGTCTGGCCCTGTCGTGTTTTCTCCTATAAACATTCTTGCAGGATACACCTCATCAAGCATTGTTTTAATTGTATCTTCTCTATCATGTTCACTACAGTCACTGGCTTCTTACTCACCAGATCAGATCTCTGTTACTTAGGACTCATGGCTCTGCATGCTGCCTGTCTATTCAGTTAACTGTGCAGCTTTCCTTCCTTACAGCCTTCTCATCATCCTAGATAGACCTGTTTATCATCTTTTTTTTTTTTTGGTCTTTTTGAGACCAGGTCTCCCTGTAGCCCCAGCTGGCCTGGAACTCTTTGTAAACCAGGCTGGCCTCGAACTCACAAAGATCCACCTGCCTCTGCTTCCCAAGTGGTAGGATTAAAGGTATGAGCCACCACGCCTGGCTCTGTTCATCATCTTAACAAATACCTATATTAATTCTTCTGGTTATATTTCTTGAAATTGCTTTTAAAAAATCTGTGCATCATCTGGGTGAGAGTCAATTTAATACTCATTTCTGTTATCTCCTAATATCCTTAATTATCATAATTTATTATGAATAATTTGCTTATGTTCTTGTGTAATTCCATATGTAGTTGACCATGTAGCAGAGAAATCAGTGTTAGGACCTTGAAGAAACTCCACAGTCACATCCCCAGTCAAGAGCACAGAGAATGAGTGCATGCATGTTCACCTGCTTGATTCTTGTGTTTCTCACAATTTCTCCTAAAGTTCAGGACCCGTTGCCCAGGAAATGGTGCTACCCACAGTAGGCTGGGTCTTCCCACATCAGTTAAATTAATATCCCACAGACATGATCACAAGTCAACCCAATGGAGACAGTCCCTCATTAAGATTTTCTTCCCAGGTAATTCAAGGTTGAGTCAAGGTGACAAGTAAAGTGACCCATCACAGAGATTCTTCAAAAATATGACTCTGGAAGCATCAAAAGAACCTTGCTTACATCATGGCTTTGCCAGAAGCTTGGTCCCTGCTGAGACTGCCTGTGACAGTGCAGTGAGCCTTTGCCTGTAACTCAGCATAAAAAAGAATTTGGAGGCCCAAAGAAAGTGGCTTTGAGTGATGAAGCGTCTGTTAGCTTTCCATCACGTTAACAAATACCGAGATAATCAGTTCACAAAGAGGATTATTTTGGATCACAGTTTGGGACATTTTGGTCCATGGTTGATTTGCCAGGTGATTTGGGGGTCTGTGGTGGAAGCATGTGGTAGAGTAAAACCACCCACCTTGTGACTGGGAATCAAAAGAGAGAAAAGGGGATGGTCTGTGCTCCCACATCCCTGATAACTGAAGACCTGTCATTATGCCTTACATCTTCAGGGTTATCCCACCATCCTGTAGCCCCACCTGGGCTTCTGGAGAATGTTCTAGATGGAAACAATAGCAGCTTCTTTCTCAGTCCTTATAGAAATGCATGTACATGTAACATGCACACCAAACCTGATTTCTTTCTAATGTGAATGTATAAAATATATAGGTAGTTGGGATGTGCAGCTCAGGGGTAGAACACTTTCCTAGCCTATGCAAGGCCCTGGATTCAATCCACTACAGCAAAGAACAAAATAATCTAAGGTTAGAAACAATGTAATCTTAAGGCTTTCTCTGTGGAACCAAACACTTTACATGGATCTGTAGTAATACATTTTCATGGTTTCATTCACTTCTAGGAGTTATAGAAACGGGAGCCGTTATTGGCCCTTTGGTTGGACTTTTGTTGGGATCATTCTGTGCAAACATTTACGTAGACACTGGATCTGTGAACACAGGTAATTCAGTATATTTTATTTATACAGTCTCTAGAGTATGTGAACCATCACGGGACTGTCAGCACAGAGTCGCTTCCTCATTTGAGACCCAGGCAAATTATTGCCACTTTACAGATGGGCAAATACCACCTGCTGACTCAAAACCCACTGTTCGTCCTGCCGTATTTCAGCCACACGTTTCTTTTCAAAAGATTTAATCACCCAGGTTTTCCTCTTAATGAGGCCGTCACTATGATAATGAAACAGATCTTTCTGTTATTTAGCTAGTGCCAATTTATGAAGACGTCACATGATAGATGATCATGTTAATTTATTGCATGAAAATATCACACTGTCACATATTGTTAGATACAATTAACTTATTTTTAACCGATATGTTTACATATCGGTTAAAAATAAGTTAAACATAAAAAGTGCACATATTAATGAGATACTATGTAGTGTTTTGATGCATTATATGTCAGGCTAAATGTAGCTAGTTTCTTAAATATTTGTCATTTTAAAAAGATTTATTGTTTTTATTTTATGTGTATGAGTGTCTGCTTGCATGTATGCATGCACATAATGTGTGTGGCACCACTAGAGGTCAGAAGAAGGCGTCGGATCTCCTGAAACTGGAGTTACAGACAATTGTGAACTGTCATGTGGGTGCTGGGAACTGGACCTGAGTCCTCTGCAAGAGCAGCAAGTGCTCTTAACCACTGACATATCTCTGCAGACTTGGAATATTTATCATTTCTTTATGGTGAAATCTTTCACAATTTTTTCCTCTGGCTTTTTGAAATGTAGAGTTTTAATTATAATGTACAATTACTCTGCTATGAGGCATCATTCCAGTTTTTTATTTTTGTCTAACTTGAACTTAGCCCAACTGAACAACTTCAGACATTTCTTCTAAAGGTCTAAATTGGTCCAATAGATGCTTATAACCAAAGCACTGGAGATCAGGTGATTACAAGTTCAAGGCCCAGCTTGGTCATGTAGCAACACCCTGGTTCAAAAACCAAAAACAGTAATGAAAACTGTATGAATAATATACAAATGTTATATTTAGATGAAATCTAAGTATTATGAGTTTTAATACTTTTCTACAGTTCACACAGGAAGGGATGATGTAAGCTAATAAAATTATTTCTATTTCTTTACAGATGAGCTGACCATAAATCCCACAGATACCCGCTGGGTTGGGGCCTGGTGGTTTGGCTTTTTGGTCTGTGCAGGAGTGAATGTCCTCACTGGGGTCCCTTTTTTCTTTTTGCCCAAAACTCTTCCAAAAGAAGGACTAGAGGATAATGCTGACACCATTAAAAATGACAAAGAAGAGAAACAAATAAAAAAGTTCAAGAAGGAAAAGCGTGGGATCACTAAAGGCAAATAAGAAAAATTTAAATTCTCTATTTTATGTAGATGGGTCTGCAGTTAGCCAAACATTTCCCATGCTATGCTGTGTTAGATCAGTTTGTCACTAATGGTGGCTGCTCAATCCTGTCTAGCTAGTCTGATTCTTTCTTCGTTACCACTTGAAAAAAAAATTATAAAATGTGGAACCTGAATTACCTTAGGTTAGACTTTATAAAAAATGTTAAGTCAAAAAGTGAGTGGTGGCACACATGTTGAATCCCAGTACTCTGGGGTTTCTCAGGTGGATTTCTGTGAGATGGAGGCCAACCTGGTCTACACAGCAAGTTCTAGGTCATTTGGGGCTACTAGGGAGACCCTGTCTCAAGAAAACAGAAAAAGAAATATTTTCAAGTCAGTCTGAACACTTATTAAGCAACACATTTATTCCCATTTGCTTTGAAAAGCCCGTATTACAGAAGATATTACTCTAACTTAAAAACACGAATAACCAGAGATTCAAGCTAAAGACAGGGGTAGGAAAAACATGTACTAACTATAGGAGTATAGTTATATAACCAAAATTTTAGTTTAGTTGTGAACATCCTTGAAGTTATGTCAGGAAAAGAAAACATGATATAATTACCTATATTTAAAAATCTGTGATAATTTAAAAGAGAACTACTGCCGAAGTAACACATTAGTTTTTTTCCCTAAATTAAAATATTTAGCCAGGCATGGTGGTGCGTGCATTTAATCTCAGCACAGGGATGCAGAGGCAGGTGGATCACTCTGAGATCTATCCTGGGATGGTCTACATAGTGAGTTCCAGGCAGCTGGGGCTACATAGTGAAACCCTGTCTCAAAAAACCAAAAAACGTTAAAAAATTTTTTTTCATCATATTTTACTCTCAAATAACTTTTAGGCAATTTATCAAAGATAGCATAAAATAAGGAAATCAAGAGAGAAAACATGAAGTAGGGAGAGGGAAGAGTCTATTATTGAGAATTTGAGTCAAAATACCCTCAATGACACCCAATCCAGTTACTAGAGAGAGGCCACAAATTTGACTCTCAGCATTTTTTAAACAAGGAAATGTTTGGGGTAAATCACGTGGAAGCTCCCTAGTACTTCCTAAAGGAATCAGCATTTCTTGGAGGACCTACATGTTGGAATGTTTAAACAATATCAGCGGGTTCTTCTGAGACAGGTCCTGCTGTGAAACTGTGGCAGAGTCCCTGAATTTGCTCTGAAAAAGCAGGAAAATTCCCAGCATTGATTGTTATCCCATCCACTCCTATAGGCATCTTTGCTGTAAATGCCAAAGGAGTGATAGTTTTGATATCAGAACGCAAACTTCATCAAAGTGATTTTCTTCCTGGTTTTAGAGCACAGAATAGGCATCCTCGATTTTCCCTGTCTCTAGTGAGTACAGGTTATTACTGGAAGGAAAAAAGAGAACGTTAAAAGGAAATGGTGTGGACACAGATGCTGTTTCCACTTCTTGTAGTTTTTCTTGAAGATACAATTATGTTCTCATTCTTACTCAGCCAACAGCATCACTAACTCCCAGAAGTCACCTAAACAATGGTACAGAATTTTAGCCACCAAGAGGCAAAGATTTATCAAGTACATTTGCGTTACAATACATCATCTGCAAGAAAATTTCAGAATACCAGTCACGAAGCACAAGGCCAAGTTAGTTTGATGCTCTCGTCTTTCTTTCATTTCAGATTTCTTACCGTTCATGAAGAGCCTGTCTTGCAATTCAATTTACGTGCTTTTCGTCCTTATTAGTGTCCTGCAGTTCAATGCATTCATTAGTATGTTTTCCTTCATGCCTAAGTACTTAGAACAGCAATATGGAAAATCAACTTCAGAGGCAATCTTTCTTATAGGTATGTGGTTTTATTATTTCTTTTTATCTCAAGTGTATGAGTGTTTTGCCCGCATGTATGGAAGAGTACCAACACCTGCAGAAGCCAGGAGAGGGCATCGGATCACCTGGAGCTGGAGTTATAGATGGTTGTGAGCCACCATGTGGGTGCTGGGAACCAAACCCTGGGCCTCTGGAAGACCAGCCAGTGCTCATAACAGCTGAGCCATCTGTCTAGTCCCGGTTTTATTATTTATTTAGGTGTACTCTCCCCTCCTCCAATGACACAATGAACACTATGATAACAGGATTAGGAGAGTCTGAAATTGACATCTTTTAGGATATTCTTGTCTCTTGGTAAACTTCTTTCTCTTCTCCAGGGAAATTGGGTAGGGATGGAAGGAGGCCCAAAATTTCCTTTCTGCTCTATCTTCAATCAGAATAGAAAGTCGTTGTCTTTATGGATCCTTGGAGAAGGTACATATTAGTCAGTTTTCACACAGGCAGCCAGTTAATGAGGAACACAGAATTAACTCATTAGGGTTCTGCATCCTGTGCCCATACTGTACTTTCAGCCATACGTTCTTGTATTCTGCATTCTGGTTTAGTCGCTCAGTCCCTCTGGTGGTTTGAAGGGTCTCTGCAGCAGCCACAGATGTTGCTTTTCATGTTACTGCACCAACCCAGAAGTCCTATCGCACTTTGGGTTTTGCCTGGGTGCATTTCACTCTTGAAAAATGACTATTCCATTATGCCTGCATCCACATCGCCTGGAGTTCTCTGATAGGTCCACACCTCCAGACCCCACCTCACCACCTCAGATGCGTAAAATTAAATGCAATGGTGTGGGGCTCCAGAAGGGAAGATTAACAAGCTCCCCCAAGCTAGATGCTGGCACTGTGTGAATGGAACCTAGGCCTGTCTCTCCCCTTCTCTTCTTTTATCCTTTGTGTTTTGGTTGATGCAGGGGAGGGTGGGGTTTGGTGGGAATGTGTGGGGAGAATGCTAGTCAATAGTAGCAAGGTGTGAAACGTAACTACACTTGATAAGCACAAACTCAGCAGTGAGTGGCCTTCTAAAATACTTTAAGCTGAGTCAGATTTTCAATATCCAGAGTGGAAATAAATACCTGAAATATAAAATATATAAATATATGTTGCTTATAAGAGATTTATAACCTACTGCAATTAATTAAAATGATAATTATAGTCTTTTAAAATATACTTCAGCATTATGGGGCATTTGAAAATCTCCTTGTGTGTAATATGTGAGTAAGTGGGGTTAGATCACTGTGTTAGACCTAAGTGGTTTCTTACCTAAGATGTATTAGACAAGTTGATTGCACAGTTATTTTGCAGTTTTGTAAGTAATATTTGACTTGCATCTATAGGTCTTTATAACTTACCTCCAATATGCATCGGATACCTAATTGGTGGTCTAATTATGAAGAAGTTCAAGATTAATGTTAAACAAGCTGCCCACATAGCCTGTTGGTTAGCCTTGTCTGAATACTTTTTGTATTTCGTAAGCTTTCTGATGACCTGTGATAACTATCCAGTTGCTGGCTTAACTACCTCTTATGACGGGTATGTTGTTTTCTGTTGAGGATCCTAATCTTTCAAGTTACTGGTATGTTTCCTTGAGAGATTGATTTTCTTAGGACTTAATGATTGCCTATGCATATGGGTGGTTGTCACTGAGATAATGTAGTCAACTCTAAAGTGTAATAAAGGAGTTGCTTTTATGTAGTCTATATTACCCTATGTTTTATGCTCCCATAAATAAATAACATTAAACATTATATAGGCTACATAGCCTTTATATGTTTTTACAATAAGCTTAAATTTAAGCATAATTGAATCTAATACATGATAAGTCAGTTATGTATACATTTATATATCACTGGTATAATTCTTTATGAAATATTCAATAGTCTTAGATTTTTTGAGCATTCTTTGGTTATAGAGAGGATTTTCATAGTATCATGGAGCTTTTAAAACTTAATTTGGGGCATAGTTGTAGAATCAACCTAATGGTTAAAATGAATAAAACCTGTTTTAAGAGGAACTGGGGAGGTGGCTCAGCGGGTAAAGTACTTGCCGCACAAGCAGAACCTAAGTTCGATTCCTCAGAGCTCATGTAAAGCTGACTGGGGGCTGAGAGGCAAAACCAGGAAAATCCTCGGAAGTTCACGGGCCAGTTAACCTGGCACACGCTTCAGTGAGTAAGAGACTCTCAAAGAGTGGAAGGTGAGGACAGATGCCTAAGATCGTCCTCCGATCTTCACAGGCATGTTGTAGTGTATGTGTTCCTGTACACACACACACACACACACACACACACACACACACACACACGGAGGGAGGGAGGGAGGGAGGGAGGAAGGGAGGGAGAGAGAGAGAGATCCTGTTAAGAATTATAAACTGTTAAGAATTATAAGATTAGAATATTTCAAATATAAAATCATAAAATAATTATGTATATTATCGATTGAGTCCTGCAAACTCCTTTTTATGACAGGAATCATTATGTCCATTTTATAGGTGAAGAAATTGAAATCCAGAGGATTTAGAGACAAAGGTAGCTTAATAGAAACAGGCCTCAACAATGCCAAAATAGAAACTTTCAGACTATCTCCATCTCTGAGCATGCCAATTCCATACTGTGTTTGAATGACAGAATTTGAATTCAGTCTCTAGAGTCACACGCTAGGCTCCTTCAGTCCCACTGAAAGTTCTGGGCATTGCCTATGTGTGTTGATTTACTCAGCCCACTCTATTTTTAAAGATAAATGCAGAATCTATATTATAAATGGAGCATGCAGATTTTGTTAGCCCTCTCATTATTTTCCACCATGTAGATTAACCAGAGTTAAGCTCACCTTCATTTTTAAAGCTTTTAATGGCACTTGGAAAAATGTCTTCCTCAGAGGGTAGACACTTAATGTTTTTCTTTTAATATTGTATTTTACTCTATTTTTATTTTCTGTGTATGAGTTATTGACTGCATGTATGTAAGTGTACCCATGTTGTGCCATGCCCATGGAGGTCAGAAGAGGGCGTTGGATTCCCCCGGGACTGGAGTTACCGATGGTTGTTAGCCACCATGTGGATGCTGGGAGCCAAAAATGGGTCTTCTGCAGGAGCAGCCAGTGCTCTTAACTGCTGAGCCATTTCTGCAGCCCCATTAATGCTTGTTTGTTAACTAGATTTCTTTGAAGTAAGTAATTGGAAAATAGTTATTTGATCACAGAAGCAGGTATCTTATGTGTCTAAAAATAAAGTACAGAGCTCACTCATTGGTGGTTAAAAGACTTGTGTTTCTGTTTTGGGGGAGAAGAGGAAGAAATGTAATGTTGTTGGGACGGGGGCTGAGATGACAATAAAACAAAACCGTAAGTGGTGTTTTCAGTACGCATAGCATCATCTTAAATAATTTCAGAACTCAACGGCCTTTATATGCGGAGAACAAGATTCTTGCTGAATGTAACACAGGTTGCAGCTGTTCAACTAAAACCTGGGACCCTGTGTGTGGAGACAACGGCTTGGCCTACATGTCAGCCTGTCTCGCTGGTTGTGAGAGGTCTGTTGGAACTGGACTCGGCATGGTAAATGTCCTTTTCTGTCTGGGGTTGAAGTTTTGCCTTGTGTACTGCACTAGCATTTTCTATGAACTCACCCGACACCTGCTGCAAAGTAAAACTAGTCTCAGACTAGTTTTGTGAATATCTCAGAATGTTTTCTGAATGTACTCTTGGTGATCTCTTAATCCAAGATCTTTTTCTAAAATCCTTCACAGTGTCTAAGCACTGTTGGTAATTCCAGAGCAGTTTAGATTATTATTCAAGTGGTTTGTATTAAAATACTCTAGTCAGAAAACTTTGTTACGTAGTTGAGGTGAATGGAAAACTAACATTGCGATAAACCTGGCAGCGTTTTTTGTTTTTGGTCAAATATCCAACTGATTGTCTCATTTTACCTTCTCTCTGATTGCAAACACACACACACACACACACACACACACACACACACACGCTTTTTTATTGTTTCATATCATGAACTTCTTTTAATTATTTTTTCACTTATTGTGTGTGTGTGTGTGTATTTTCATGTGTGTGCGTGCTCGTGTATGGGCGTGTTCATGTAGACACCAGACAACAGCCTCAGCTGTTGCTCATCAGGTACCATCCACCTTGTGTTTTTTGAGTCAGGGTCTCTTACTGGCCTGGAATTCGATGATTGATTAGGTTGCCTGACCAGAAAGCCCCAGGGATCTGGCTGTCTCCCTCTCCAGAGCACTAGGATGACAGACAATTGCCACCAAACCTGGCCTTCTCACATGTGTGCTGGGGATCTGAACTTGATTCCTTGTGCCTGTACAGCAAGTGCTTTACTGACTGAGCCATTTCCAGGCCCCACATCATGACAGTTTTTCAGTGAGCAAAAGCTTAATTAAGCTCATTTTTTCGCCTCAAGTACTTACAAAGTTGTTTGATAATCAAGACAAATTTTGATTCTTCATCAGACCTTGAGAGTGTTGATTTTATTTTTATTTTTGTCTTTTTCCATTGCTCTCCATTAAAAAAAATAATTTATTGAGAATTTCATACATGCATAAAAAGTGTTTTGATAAAATCCATGCCCACTCCCTCCCCTCCAACTCCTCCTATATCTCCCCATCACTTTTTTCTGATAACTTCATGTACTCTTTCTTCTTCTTTTATTATTTTTTTATGGGGCTTTTGGCTACTCTAACATTTCCCCCCTCCAAAGAGGTGACCCTAAAATCTTTTAAAGATTATATAAAAGCTCCCAAATACTTTAGATATTTTTGGCCTTTGGAATGGAGTATGTTGCTAAGAGGCTCAAAGACATTTTGAGTTTTAGCCAAGAAACTGGCTACTTTTCTTTAGGGGTCTTATACCGTTAACTGCCTGCAATTCCTACCTCCTATTCTACCACACCATCCTCTTAAGAGGTTACCCAAATTGCCAATAAAGAATCGGGATTCAGACTGCTCTGGCTTCTTCCATGCTGAACAGGGACGCAAGGTGAGGCAATTGGGGTTACCCCTTCAGTGGGTCTATCTAAAAGACTCCCAAATTGCATAGCTCTTATGTGTAGGAGGGAAAGAAAGTCCTTGACTGGTGAATAGGAGATGTGAAGGAGAAGTAAAGGCAAGAGTAATTAACATTACAAGTTCTAGACAGAGAGCTAGAAAAAAGTCAGAACAGGGCAATTTTCAAATGTTCATTGGCAAAGTCCATTGGAGTTTCTTGAAAAGGGCTTCCAAAAGCATCCCTCTATTGGGTTCTTCCTCATTTTTCTTTTGTCTTCGAAGCCTGGACCATTTGGCTTGGAAGA